TAAATAACAACAGCTATAATAAATAACAACAGTTGTAATAAATAACAACAGCTATAATAAAGAAAAACAGCTATAATAAATAACAACAGCTATAATAAATAACAACAGTTGTAATAAATAACAACAGTTATAATAATTAACAACAGTTGTACTAAATAACAACAGTTATAATAAATAACAACAGTTATAATAAATAACAACAGCTATAATAAATAACAACAGCTATAATAAATAACAACAGTTGTAATAAATAACAACAGCTACAATAATTAACAACAGTTATACTAAATAACAACAGTTATAATAAATAACAACAGTTAAAATAAATAACAACAATTATAATAAATAACAACAGTTATAATAAATAACAACAGCTATAATAAAAAACAACAGCTATAATAAATAACGACAGTTATAATAACTAACAACAGCTATAATAAATAATAACAGTTGTAATAAATAACAACAGTTACAATAAATAACAACAGTTATAATAAATAACAACAGTTATTTTAAATATAACAACAGTTATAATAAATGGCAGAGAGCAGAGTGTTTTTGTTCTGCTCATGCTTTTTCAGCAAAACTAAGAAAATCCAGTCTCCAAAGAGACGTTAGTGGATTTACCAGTTTGGACTAACTGTGATTATGCAGACTCTGCATGCACGATAAATGCAGCTGAGCCCTGCATCAGTGTTGCCAGATAATTTTAAAATGTCTTAATTACTCCCTCTTTTTCTGTGCACATGTTCAACAAACACAACACACACCTCATCTTAGAATATCTTTACTCAGCACATATGACAGTTTAGGTCAAAATACTATCATTTTAAAGAAACAGTACTATAGTTCATCATTTCTTATCTGGCAACCCGACTGAAAGTTTACTACAGTGTTTTCATGTAAACCTGCTAATTTTTTGTTTATTACCCCAGTAAACATTGAACAAACAATAACATTTCCAGAGGTTGTTCAGTGTAAATGGGGTCTTATAGCAAGTACATAATTTTGACTTGGCCATTTGAAAAGGAGCTGCATGATGAAGAAGTCTGGGCACCCCTGCTTTAAGACCTGTCTTGGTCCATATGTGGACTGGTCCATGGTGTGCAGGACCCAAATGCAACACAGTGCCGGTGGTGAAAACTAACAGGAAAATTGGCTGCAACAGTTAGAATGTCTTGGCAACAAAAATATTTGAGAAAATTACAAGAAAAGGCAAATTTTCTGTTTCAGTTTCTCTGAACTCAGTGACCATCAGTGTTTGAAAATCACCATTTTTGTGTTCATGATTGCAAAACAGCTTTTTTTCCCCCAGCGCACATTATTCTGTTGCCCATCTTGACCTGCTTTGTACTCAACTCGACAATCGCCACCCCCGACATTTATGATTTATTCTGCTGGAGTACACTTAGAAATGAAGACAGGCAGATCTGGGCTATTGTTTAATTTTCAAACATGCATCATTGATTTATTTTTTATTCTTTTTAATCTGGACATTTTCTGTCAGAGGTGAACTATAAAAAGTACTAGACACAGAGAAGAGTGAGGTACAGAAGAGTTCCTCAGACACCAGGAAGACAAAACTTCTTGTCTTAAAAGAGTAAATAATAGTTAAAACTCCAGCAGGGTCAATCCGGACCTTGCGTACATCCAGCTGAGATGGCAGCTGACCCATCTGTCTCCTTTCCTCTTACTCAGAGGGGGACTCAGGCGCTACAACAGCACCTGCTTGTGCTCATGGAAGGGTGCTCTGACTCGGACAATATCAGAGGCAAAGCATTTGCCACTCCCATATCTGGATATTTTGTGCATCGCCATATTTACGTTAATTCAAACATGTGCCAAGTTTTGTGATGCTCAACCCACAAGAACAACGTATATGTCATGAAAGGTCAGTTATGCCCAAAGGCAACACCTCCAAGTCTGCCATGATACCCTGTCCACACTCTTTGGCCTTTGGTAGTAAACTGGTCCAAATCTTCCCTTCTTTATTTCAAACATGTACTCTAGCAGATTAAATCATAAATGTGCCAGGAGAGATAGCGAGAAATTGGAAAATGAGGAATGCAAACTTAAAAACTGGGTGTGCTTGAGACGGGTTGGGGGGGGCTTTGCCCACTTCTTCACGTGCTATAAATGTGATGTAGATGCAAGGATATACAACTGAGTCACTGAATATTAGAGACAAACACTGAGAAGTCAGTGAGACAGAACATTTGTGTATCTTTGAGTCACCAGCTAAACGTCTAACAGGCACGACTGTTAGTCAACGGTTGTTTTTCATAAAAGTTGAAGACTGGAAATCCTAACTCAGTCCGTTTTTAGATTTTCTACAATTCTGGAATGTCTTTTGTCACATTATGTCTAAGAATGTTATATTATGTTTTATGTATAGTATTTTGTCTTTATATGTCCCACCTTTAAGACTGAATAAAACCCACAGACCAGTGGGAGATAAATGACGATGAACGTGATGGGTGGTCTACGTTGTGTGTTGACAGATGTATTTCAACAGCACGCTGACCGACTCGTCTAAGCTGCTCAAGCCCCTGCTGGTCTTCTCCTTCATGATTAGTGCCATCATTTGTGGTCTGACCAGGATAATTCAGTACAAGAACCATGCCGTGGACGTTTACCTGGGCTTCCTGCTGGGAGGGGCCATTGCTGTTTACCTGGTAAGAACCTGCCTTACTGCAACGTTCCAGCACGCATTATCTTGGAAAATACGGAAAAATGTTGTTGGGGAAAAGCCCTTATTTATGAAAAGCAAGGAGTTTGTAGATTCCACAGTGAGTACAACTTTTATCTTTAACAAAGCACCGGACTTACAGGACAAGAACACCGATCTCCGATGACTAACTTAAAACAAACGTCTAAAGGGCTAATCTAGGAAAAATCGTGACTTTATCACAGGAATTCAACTACCTAGTGTAGATAATGCTGCTGCACCTGGGGAGGGAACTGAACACAACATATAGCTGATGATAGCTCAAGGGTCTATTTTAGGTCCACTGTTTTTAATCTCTACATGTTGCCTTTGGGGTCCATTTTTAGAAAACACAACATCCCTTTTCACTTCTTTGCTGATGACATTCAGTTGTACCTGCCCATTAAGTCAGACAGGTTACTCCACTGGAACCACTCTTGAACTGTCTAAATTAAAAACATTAAAGTCTGGTTAAAACTAAATTTCCTGAATTTAAATGAAAATAAACTGAAGTCATCAGCTTTGGTAAATTTCATGCCCCTAACACGCTTGGCTTCATACAGCCATACCAGGAATCTGGGGGTTATTTTTGATGGTGCTTTTAAATTAGACAAACAGATAAATTCTTAAATCTTCCAACTAAGACTTATTGCCAAAGTGAAGTCTTGTCTCCCTTTCAGAGACCTTGAAAAGGTGATTCATACTTTAATTGTCTCTCATTTGGACTATTGTAATAATCTCTGCATCGTTTACAAACTGTCCAGAACCAGCAGCTCATCTTTTAACAGCAACTGGAAAATATGAACGCATAACCCCTGTCCTGGCTTCTCTCCACTGACTTCCTGTCCACATCAGGATTGATTTTAAGGTTTTATTGCTTGTTTTTTAAATCTTAAAAAGTCTGGTCCCGTCTTATTTATGTGACCTTTTTAACATCTACACTCCAGAAAGAGCACTCCGGTCTAACAACCAGTTCCTCTTAGAAGTCCCCAGGTCCAAACTTATGTCCAGAGGTGATCAGGCTTTTTTCATCTGCTGCTCCTAAACTGTGAAAAGTTTCATTTAAAGAGTGTTGAGACTTTTAAATCTATGCTCAAGACTCATCTTCATTCTTTGGCATTTGATCCATGCAGAGGCTGAGAACAAGTTAAAGCTGATTTTTTTTCAATTGTATTTAATTGTTAATTTTATGTTTTCTGAGTGGCACATGATGTATTTTTTTTCTTTTTAATTTGACAATTGTAAAGCACTTCGATTAGCTTTTGTTGTTTTGATGTGCTATGGACATAAATTGACATTGATGGAGATAATTACAAAGAAGGAGCAGGGATAGAAAGCAGGAACAGGTAAGCAGCATCAAACTCTAAGGATTCAACACAAGGAACAAACAGAACCTGAAAACTACTATAAAACATGAGAACCAGAATAAGAAAACAAAGAAACCAACACAGAAAAACCAATGAGGAAAACCATTCCTCGCGTTTAGTAAACTCCTTGTTAGGCTTGTGGATTCCTCTAAACCATCTGCTTTAGCTAGTCTTGGTCTCAAGACTGGTCTCAAGACCACTTTTTGATGGTCTTGGTCTTGTCTCGGACTCGATTGAATTTGGTCTTGGTCTTGTCTCGGTCTCGGACATTGAGGACTCGAGATTTTATTTCAAGACCAGTCAAAACCACAACTGTGTAAATATCACTAAATTGCCAGAATATTGTCCAGTTTATTTGTTAACATCTTTGTTTTTATTGGATGCTAAATGTACTGATTCACATCCAAGCAATAACATGACTAATTGCTAAATACATGTTTTTGTTACTGCTGTCACGCCCACCCCCTTTCACTCACACACTTCACTTCCAGTGTTGCCATATTGGGCTGTTTACTGCCAATTGGGTGGTTTTCATTCTGATTTTGCTGGAATCTCTGGGAAGATTTTTGTTTGTTGCATTTTGTCACATATTGTTCAATTATCTTGGTTTGTACTGATGTGCGTTCATGTTCAAACAGTAATTATACTGTAACAATATATTGATTGGGTGGATTTTTGTGTGATGTGGTGATTTTTAACAGATTTTTGGGCTGGAAAACCTCTACTCTATCTGGCAACACTGGTCACTCCAAGAAAGTGAGAAGTGATTGTCTGGGTGCAGGAGAAGGTATCTGCCAAATCATCAGTTATAAAATTTGACCATTTAAATCACAAAGAATATACTTGTAAATATTATCCATTTATGTAACTTTTTAGGTGTATATCTACTACCTCACTGAAACCACTGTGCAACTATATGGTTATCCTTGGTCTTGAGTTCAGATTTATGAAGATTGTTTTGCCACTGCAGTTTTTAAAGGCTTGGCATGTGATGAAACTGCTTCCAGTTTAACAGTTGTGTAATTTTACTGTTGACAGTTAGGCCACTGAATGGCTGATTTCTTTGTTATGTAACTTTGAAAATTTATAAAAGCTGATACATTCATTCAAAAGCAAACTTAAAGTTGCAGTATGTAACTTTTATAAAAAAAAATATATATAATAAAAAAAGTTTATTTTATTTGAGGTCTTGGTCTTGACTTGGTCTCACCTTCCCTTGGTCTTGTCTCGGTACACTCGGGTCTTGACTTGGTCTCGGATTAGGTGGTCTTGAACACAACACTAGTGGCAAGACAAACAGGGATGGCCTAGTGAGCAGCAAATGGTGAGCGGTGCTTTTCACATGTATGAGCAGTAGGGCTATGCATTTTGAAGTCATCGAGTCAATGAATTCCTCAAGCTTTATAAATGCCCTTTGAAGGTTCTTCTCAATTAGAGAACCTGCAAAACAGATATGGGGTGATTTTTGGACCAACTTTGTGGGGACCTGCAGAGAGCAGCAGATGGAGTTGATGAGCAGCAATAAGGGAGTGCAACAATACCTGAGTGGCAATGGGTGCAAATGATTCTTCAATCCATCATTCTCATCACATATGAGAGTCAGTTGGAGCGACTGATAGATCTCACAAGGTACATCCTGGACTCTGTTGTTATAGGTTAACCCAGACAAGCTCACCCACAAGGTCTTAATCAAGTCAAGTCAACTTTATTTATAGAGCACATCTAAAACAGAACCTGTTATCAAAGTGCTTAACAACAACAACAACAATGACAACAACAATCAATGAGAGTAAAATTAAAGAGAAAAAAAATACAATACACTAATAATAATAACTGAAGAATTAATAAAAAGCACTTAAAACATGGGGTCACAGATAAAAAAAACACTAGATCAATTTACACTGTGTGAAATGTCTGCAAGAACAGATGAGTTTTCAGCAGGGATTTGAACTGAGGAAGGGAGGTGGCCTGTTTGATGTGGGGGGCAGGTTGTTCCAGAGTTTGGGGCCCATGACTGAAAAAGCCCAATCTCCTCTGAGCTTCAGTCTTGTTTTAGGAACAGCCAAAAGCAGCTGATCGGATGATCTCAGGACCCGAGAGGGAACGTAAGGTTCCAGTAGCTCAGAGAGGTCACATTCATGTCAAAGATCTCAGCTATTGTGAATGTTTGTGCATTGGTTCTTGTATCCACAGACCCAGACCCCACCTTCATCCTAACACAATCAACACTTCTCACATAGAGGATCAGTGCACTTTCTCCTCCCCAAAGGATCTTTGATGATAAGGTTCTATTTAGCAAGCAGTGGAGACAGGTGCAATGTCTTGCCAACACTTTCTGGCATTGCTGGAGGACAGTATACCTTCTTACCTTACAGAAATGTAGAAGATGGAACAAGGCAGACAGCAATCTTCAGGAGGGTGATGTTGTCATTTTGAAGGACCATCAGACTAAGATGAGTGACTGGCCCATGGGCTTCATAGTCAAAACATTTTCCAGATCTGATGGTAGGGTTAGGAGGGTGGAAATCAAGACAGTTAAAGATGGTTCATGCAAGACCTTTCTACGGCTGGCCTCAAAGTCTGTCCTAACCCTCCCTTGAAATCGGACCTAGTTATTGTTTTAGTTGTTCTCTGCATTCTGTTCTTAATGGTGGCATCTTCCAGATGTCAGGTGGGGAGTGTTTTGACCTGGGGAAACCAGAGACTTTTAGTTCAAATTGCAGCCACTAAATGGTAAATGGTCTGTACTTATATAGCGCCTTTCTATCTTATTGAGATACTCAAAGCGCTTTACACTACAATCTGTGTCCTCGTTTACCCATTCATACAGCACTCTACGAGATCTCTACAAAGCTAATTGAACAAATCATTCTAAAGAGACTAATCAGTGATTTATCACATTCATACACACATTCATGGGACACACATTGGAGGCAATGAGGGGTTCAGTGTGTTGCCCAGGGACACTTCGGCATGTGACTGCTGTGGGGTTCGAACCACCAACTCTTGCTTTGGAGGACGACTGCTCTAACCACTCAGCCACAGCCGCCACTAGATGGTGCTAGTTTGGTATAAACCACGTTTACCTTAAAACTCTATAGCCTGCCATCTTGTTTTTCTATTCATTCTGAGCACATTGTGGAACTGAGCAGTCAGAGATTTTAGACTCATTTTCTTTGAAGGAATCAGTTATTGGAGCATTGTCAGTGAATACAGTATTTTTTAATATTTAACTTTGTGTTAGTGCTTATATTTTGTGTGGATGTTACATTAGGTTGTCTCTTCATTTGTGTTATTTGCTTTGCTAGCAGCTTGCTAGCTGTATTGGTATCCACATTTGTTACATTTGTTAAATGAGTATAATGTGTATAATGACGTTAATATGTACTTTAAAGTGGTTTATCACAGTAATTGTTTACATATTTATGTTATTCTTTTCTTTTCAGTTTTACCCTATTCTCTTGCTGTCAGTGCTAATCAGTGGTGGACATTGACTACACTGTGTGGAAGGAGTCATGTCTGTCTAATTAAATAAATGAGACTCTCTGAAGAGGGTAGAGCAGGTGTACTGCTGGTTTGCTTAGCCTTAATAATGTGGATGACATCACAACATTCTGCCTGGTTGAAACTAAACCATGATACTTTAAGTGGAGGTGAACTTGTGCGACAAATAATAAGGGCAAATAGTGGGAGCTAAGAGTTCAATATCTGCCAAGTCTGAGAATACACCACAGATGACATGTGACATCACGAGTGCGCAGCATGGCTGCACTGATGGGAGCTTTACTTCAACTCGATCTTTTTTTTGTTCCTGTTGTTCTTGTTTTAATCGTTATTGTACTTACAATGCATGCTCACGCTATGGATATGACCACAACACACTTGTCGAGTTTTGTGTGTCGCTGCCTTGCCATCATGCCATCATGCCGTCCTGCCATCGTGGTTCAATTCCCAATCCCATTCAACCTTGGGCTCAGGCTCCAGCCTGTCATGGTGGCCATCTCCATGATCCTCCATCTGCCTGCATGGACCGAACTCTACGAATCTGTTCGGCTCCACAGAAAAAGCCTTGGATGTTCTCTGTCTGCTGGACCCGGTTCTGGAGGACAGTCTGGGAGGGCAGCTGCTGTGATCATTATTATCATCAAGCTGCTAGCTGGACCTGCTAATGCTGCTAATGCTGCTAACGCTGCTAGCGTGATCCTCCATCTGCCTGCACGGACCGAACTCTACTGACCCGTTCGGTTCTGCGGGGAAACCTGGGATGTTCTCTGTCTACTGGACCCGTTTCTGGGCTGTGGTTTGTGAGGGCAGCTGCTGCGGTCCTTATTACCATCAAGCTGCTGACCGGAGCAGTTAACAAGACCTTATAAGCTGCTAACAAGACCATGCCGCTAACAGAACACAACAATGATGTTGAAAGAACCTCACTGCTAAACGTATCACACTGTAGATGTATTTCTTTTTTAACTTTGGCATCTTGTTTTTTTGTTGTTGTTGTTGTTGTTTTTTTTTTGGGGGGGGGGGGGTATTTTAGTAGTATTTTTCAAAAGTTTTTTAGTATTTTAGTAGTATTTTTCAAAAGTTTTTTAGTATTTTAGTAGCATTTTTCAGTATGTTTTTAGTATTTTTGCTGCATGCTTTGGTATTTCTTGCTGTTGTTTTGTTGTTGTTTTTGGCAAGTCGAGACAGTTCTTCTTGTCCTAAGCATTTCATTGCACTGTTGACCTTGTGTTAATTTTGCATATGATAAATAAACCTAACCTGAACCTGAACGAGGTCATTCATGACCACAGTTGTCCCTAGATATGCACAATAGAAATACAAAGAAATAAGAGTATGTCAGAAGCATACTAGAACTGCAAACATAAGACAAAAAGGTTGCCTGCTATCCCTTTCAAGGGATTTTCAAGCTTGTTTTCCATTTTTCCCTTTCAAGCTTTTCATCTTTGAAAAGAAGTTGTGAATAAGATTTTCATTTTTGGTTTATGCAAAACAATTGTTTGAATCTAAACTTATCACAAATACACAAATCAAGAAAAATCAGCAAAAATAGTATCAATGCCAAAGTTTTTTCTTTTTCTGTTTACCACTTCATGAACAAACACATTAGAGCAACACCTAAAGGAATAATATTTCTGTTTTCTGTGTTTTCAGGGTTTGTATGCTGTTGGAAATTTTCAGTCTAGCGATGAGACCAGCAGCAAGCCTCCTTCCCTCGTGCATCAGCCACCCTGCCCACTGCCCCATGTAACTCAGGAGGCTGTCCTGCACCACCTGCAGATGAAAGCATGCATGGCACCTGAGCCCGGCATACCCACCTCCCATTCTGAAGGCCTCCTCCATCGAGGTCTTCAGCAACAGAGGCCCGAAGACAGCCTAAAACGTTCTGGTGCCAACGTGGAAGTGATTTCCTCTCGTAGCCCTCCAAGTAAGGATGCCATAATGACTTTTAGCCACACACTCCCCAGGGTTCACACTCCTCAGGCCATAGCAGCATATGAGGAAGCTGCCAGGCGCCATGCTGCCACTCTGCATCATGCCTCCATGGACTCCAGCCGCTCCAAACAACTTCTCTCTCAATGGAAAAGCAAGAACAACAGTCACAAGTGCTCCATGAATGTCCCAGATTCCATCTCCTCCTCTGTAGATTCATCATCAGGCCAGTCCTCTCAGCACCCCCATCATGGCAGCATGGAACTCCGATCCAGCTCTGAACCATCAGCTGGTGGTCTTAATGGGGTCCTTGATAGTCATGCATACTTGTCCAGGCTGCCAACAGGTTCTAGTACCACCTTGCCTAGCAACTGTAGTGGCATCACTGGAGGGGCCAGGATATCCATGCAGCCTAGACCAGGGTCTTCTCAGCTTGTCCACATACCAGAAGAGGCCCATGAACTTTACACTTCCCAAAGAAATATGGAGGTAGGAGGAAGTGAGTTAATGTCAACAGGAAATAGCACCATTCAGGCTAACTGGCAAAAAGCAGCTGAGAGGACTGCAGCTTATAGAACTAATGAAAACATGCAGAACAACCAGCCACGACTCATGCAAGTCATTGCCATGTCCAAGCAGCAGGGGCTTCTCCAAACCCACTCCAAAAGCTTAGATGAAAGCAGCATGGGCTGCAATGCTAACGGTAATTGCCAAAGTGCTGCTAGATGCAGGGCGTTAACTGATCAAGATCCTTCCATCACCACGGGGCCCAGCTCACTGGGCAGCACCACAGGCAGCATTTCAGGAAGCACCGGAGCAATTGTCAGAATAGAGGCACACCCTGAAAACAACAGACCAGTAATTCAAGCTCCATCTACTGATGGGAGTGGATCGTGGAGGTGGAGGTCCCTGGATCATGGCACTGGAGTTGGCGGAAGCACAGGAACTAGTTGTGTTGGATCAGGTGCAGGACCTGGGAGTGTGAGGCAGTCCTTTGAGCACACTGACCTAAACCTGGACACGGAAAGCTCTGACTCAAGACATGGGTCAATTGACAGAAAACGCAGCAATCACATTGTTACCACAACTTCCACTGTTGGTACTTCACCCATCGTCACTGTTCACACCCAGAATATAACACAGTCAGAGCAGAGGCTCCACCCCCAGGGCCTCTCTACCATCAGGGTCACTCCAGGAGATGGTAATGTTTCAGGAGCAGATGGAGGCGGTGGAGATTCTGCCTCAGAGGTACCTTCGGTTGCTTCCAGTCGTGAGTCAACGCTGCGACGAAAAAGCAACATGATCCTGATCCCGGAACGAGCCAACAGTCCCGACAATGCCAGGAACATTTTCTACAAGGGAACGTCCATCGCTCCTGCTTTTAAAGACTAAAACACAATGAGACCATACAATGTAGCAGATAAGGTGGAGCCAGGCAGTTCTCACGAACCATCAAATTATATCGATTTAAAAGCAAAGTTTTGATGTAGCATGATTTTTGTACATGTTTACACTAAAGCACAACCGTTTACATGTTGTAGAGATCACTGTGTACTCTGTGCTCACTCCTAAGAGAACCTGTTGTAATGTGCCCGGTGTTTTTGAGGACAGAATCACCTTTTCTATTGAGTAAAGTGTTTTGGATTAAAGAAAAGTGCAGTTGCATTTAAAGAGAACAGAGCAACTTATCGTGACATAGCTGTGAAACCAACGTTTACTTCCCAGTTTTGTACATAATGTGTGTCAGGAGGCAGTGCTACACCAGCTAATACTATTTATGTTATATAAACATATAATCTGAATAGTAAAAAAATAATAATTTTCAAAGAGGTACTACTATTACAATAGGTTGTCAGAGATGTTTTTCTGTAACACGTCTCTAAAAAGAGACTTTTTGAACCTTAAGTGTGCTTAGCCATTATCCTGTAGCTACAAAGTCCAATTAGCTATAAGTTGCACTGAAATAAGCATTTATATCCTGTTTATATATCTATTTTTGACATCCACGTCAATCAGTTCATGCAGCACAAAAAGTTATCTTTATACTCGAAATGTAGTTCATTTGATTTGTTTTTACTGAATCTGAGAGATCTCTGTCAGTTTAAAAACTGTTTCTTTGAAATTTCAAAGAAACACTTCACATTTTGTGTGCTAACAACAACAGAGTTGGAGTAAGTTTTAGTTTAAAGAGGTATCGTGACCATTTTGAAGTGATGTTTTGGCAGGACTGACGAGCTGACAGCTGGTCTGAGTGAGCTCAGGACCAAAGTGAATCGCTGCTTTCTTAAAACAGATATAAACTACGTTTCATAGCAGTTCATGAAAACACTTGTTTTTATCTTGACATTACCGTCAGTTTTGCACAACCTTACTTGGGCAGAATATAAATCAAATTCCTGCAGAAAGGGACCCAGGTGAGACAGGAAGTGTTACAGGAAGCTGCTGCTGCCGTTATAAACATCATAATTCAATGGCAAAGTGAAATGAACAGAGATGAGACAGGCGTTCTAAATAATTTCATGACTCCACGTTATTCCTGGCTCTAACTGGGCTAGCTTGTCAGTCCTGTCAGACCCAAACTGTTTCCTCATACTGATAAGTTGTTAAAGTCAGGTCATTTTTGTTCTGTCAGATGTTCTGTTGCATCACAGAGGAAGGAGAGAAGCCTTCATCCAGGCGAGGCTAAAGGCTAGCACAATGAGTGTCAGGGGTTTTTTTACATTGTGTTTTTTAAGCTTTTAAAACAAACCTCCCATTAACAAAATACTGCTGTGAAAGAATGATCTCATTTTAAAATTCTCCACCTTAGCACAGATGTGGGCAATGTATGGCTCGAGGGTCAAAAGTGGCCCTTGGACAATCTCCATCCAGCCGCAAAATTCTTAATTGAAAATAAATAAATGTATCAATCTGCATTTCATCAATAAAACTTAGGCAGTTTAAATCAAACATCTTGGACAAACACGTCAAAATCCTCCAGCTTGACTGTCTAAAGTTGTGACTGCATATCTAAACTGAACTTAAAGACTCCAAAAAGCAAACATAAAACTTTTTTATGCATATTTAGGCCAAGTAGCAGTTTACAGAAAGTATGTTTAATAGTCCTAAATAATGATAGACGCGTTTATCAAACATGCCAACTACGCTACAACAAGAAAAAGGCTGAAAAAAGTCTCCCGGATTATTTGTCTTAAACAACATTTATTTTCCAATTCTTGAAGCTGCCTTTAGTTTGCTTTATTTATCACGATTTAGTCAAATGCTAACATTTCTGCTTCTATCAGGTCTTTTCAATTTTATTTCTTTTAGACAAGCTGCATGTTCACTTTTAAAAACCACTTACTGAAGTAATATTCGTAAAAATAAAATAAAACGAAACGTTTTGAACAAAAATGAAAGTTTAAGCAATATGCACATCGGCGTCACAACCATTATATGTGAAGGGGACGCGTTCCCCCCCACATTAAAAAAAGTTTATTTTGGCCCCCCCCCCCCCCACACACACACACACACACACATTTACCATGAAACATTAGTTCAGTCGGCGCAGTTTCTCTTTCTTTGTGAACAAATCCATTCCACTTGATTAATAGGAGAATACTCAAACCACTAAAATTCCACTCCAGGTTTTCCTGGTTACCTACAACTCTCCAGCAGCAGCAGTGTTTCTCCTCTGTGTCTCCTGCCAAGCTCACAGGTGGAGGAGGTGGAGGCACCTTCGTGTTGCTGGCTCGCCAGCTCAGTTGTTGACCAGTGGGGTTGATGATAAACATATATACACGTTAGGATGCTTGAGAGAAGTGGAGCGCTACATCTGTAGCATCTTAGCTTAGTGCTAAGATAAGTGTAAGACGCTGTGTGTTCAGGTGCATTAAAGTTGAAATGGTTTTAAAACCTCACACCTTATTGTGAGAAACTAACTTTAGATGAGCAGTGTTGAACACAAGTAAAAACGTCCAGTGGTGAAGTTATTTTTAATTTCTATATAAACGCAAATAGTGCTGATCTGAGGCTGTATGTTAAAGTGTATTAAAGTTAAAATTTCTTTAAAACTCACAGCTGAATTTACACAAACTTGGTGAGCAATGTGCTTTAAATGTGTGGAATCAAAGTAAGGAAATCTAGGTGAAATGTTGCTTTTTTATACACTAGTACACATACCATCAGTGCCCCCCCCCCCCCCCACACACACACACACACTACAGATACTTCTGATGCCAGTGAATATGCAGACGATATATTAAAATAAATACATTTTTGCATTTATGCCTTTCAGCTAAAACAAGAATAATAGTTTTTTTTTTATCAGTAAATTGGTATCAAATGAAATCAGAAGTGGCAGAAAAGTAGGTGAGCATAGGGCAGGACATGTACAAAGCTTGTGGTGTGATGTGCAGTAGGAGTGTCAGATAAGATTCAGGTACCCTGAGACCCATCTGGTTTAAAATGTTGATGGATGATTAACAAACGAGGACAGACAGGAATATTTGAGGACTTTAACATTTGCTGAGGACACTCATCTGTGATACTGGGGAGTAGGTGGAAGAGAGTCCAGAGAGGTAAAGGAACAAAAGTCGTTAAAATATGCATTTTTTCTTAAGCAAAATACACTAAATAAACCTTTTCTTTAGCTTCTGGGAAGTACTGGGTTATTTTCATACTATGAGTGTATAACATTTAGGGGCAGTTTAAACCCTGGTTATTAGCGTGGATAAAGACAGTCTGCAGGTTTTGATTGACATCAAGGTTATTCATACTGACTACTGAAAACTAATTGACAGGGCACACACAAAAAGGTTAAATCATGTCTTCTGGACAGTTTCTTTTAATTGACAGAACATCACTTAAAAAAATCCTGATTATCTTTTTTAGCACGTTTTCCAGAGACTGTCTCTCCCAAATGAACAGATTATTTCTTTAAACTGACATGTTTTGACTGAAGTAAAGTACTCCTACAGCAGCTAAACGTAGTCATCAAATACTTTTTGGTGCCAAATTTGTTTTCTAAACCAAAAAAAAAAGGCAAAAGCACATTTGTGTCAACAATAATCACATCTCTTCCAAAAGTGTCAAAAATAGGTACAAATGTATTTATTAAAAACACAAATATTTGTATAGGTCCTTTAAAGCAGATTGCTGTTTCTCACTGTGCTAATTAATAACTTTATTTTTAACCTACATTTACAGCTGGTTGTGTAGCATTTTTAAACTAACTACAATTTTCTCCTGAACTTATTTGTAAAATAAAAAATGGAATCAACACTTAAATGAAGCAAAACATGCAACTTGTTTTTCTGAAGCTTTACCAAATGAACTGTTACATTTAGTACTTTATGTAGCTAAGTCATCAAATAACCATAATTTTGAGATTTAAAATTATCTACCCATGTGTGAGCTGTGGCAGCAGAAAAAGTACATCTTGACAGAATTGACTAACTTTTCATAGTAAAACAAAATTAACACAATATGTATTTATTTGTACAGCAATACTATGTTGAATTATTAGTGATTATTTTGTAAACCCAGAAACAGAAGCATGATTTTATATTATGTATCACAAGATTTGTAACGTGCTTTTATTGAAATTTACAGTTTGGTATCTTTCTGTTGTTTCACAACGAGTGTCAAATGACAATCTTTGTATCTATGTACTGTTTCCTCATGGTTTACAATAATTTTATATATTTGGAATGTGTACATGTTAAGAAATATTATTAAAAATAGCTGTTATAAATAATGAATACGCCAGAAAGAAGATAGATACAATATTTTCTAAGTAATCAATGATGAAAAATATTTTATTTCAGTTCTGTCAGTTTATTGTTGTCACTAAAGTCCATGGATTGACTTTAAAACGTCATAAAAATATTTTGTTTATTCTGAAAAGCCAAGAAGAGTTAGTCGCTCTTAGCCCATCTGCAGTTTAAAAATGAATTAACTCGGTTGTTGTTCTTGTTGATGATGATTTTGTTCTTTTGAAACTTCCTGTCAGAAACTAACTTCACACATGTCTGAAGCCTGTGTCTCACTGTGCTGTCAATGTTGGACATAAGTTGGACACTTGATGGTAAACAGCGTCCCAAAATGTCTCAAAACACCCGCGGGCACCTGTTTCTTTGCGTGAGTTGCAGAAGTTTAAAATCTGAACACGTTTAAAAAATTTGTGCAACTAATTTCGTCTCAGAGATTTTGTGGGCGTCCTCCAACACTTCTCAGGTTTGTCCTGATGCTTGCTCGAAAAATCTAAGCAGGCTGAGTCTGGTCCTCTGGGTGGATTCTTCTTGTTGAAACGTTTGGTCTTTTATCCAAAAGACTTCTTCAGTCTGAAACTCCACAAGAAAACTTGGTCTTATAAACAGCTCCTTGTCATAATGGACCAGCCAGAACTGTTCACATGCAAAAGGAGGACTATCAGCCTCACAATAGATCATTAGAGTCTTAACAATGTCATAGTGGACCACTTGAGAGAGACGTGAAGGAAGCCATCTTTGTGAAGAGAAACCTTCCATCATTAAACAGGACCTCCGTGTCCAACTGTCCTCTTCTTATAATGCTTTTATCGCTAGTATCACTCAGCCCTCTGTGAAAAGCAAGGGGCCATCAGAGCACCAATGATCTATTGTTGGGCTGATGCTCCTCCTTTATCACGTGAACGGCTAGAGCTATTTATAAGACTGAGTTTCTTGCAGGGTTTCAGACTGAAGAAGTCCTTTGGATAAAAGACCAAACGTTTCAACAAAGAAG